ACTCGTGAACAAGACCCCGAGATACTTAAACTCCTCCACTTGAGTAGAACCTTTCCCCCGACCCGGAGTTGGAAAGTCACCCTTTGCTGGAAGAGTAAAATAAAATAGTGAAATAATTTTGATATATGGCCAGAATGTCTCTTGGGGTCAAACTTTAATACGTCTCAAGCAATTTTGCAAATGCTTGAAATGCGCCGTGACACCCGTGTTAAAAATTAAAAACGGTAAATGCAGAGAGACAAAATACAAAATATGCTAATTACTAGTATTTTGTAGAGGTTAAAAAGCTTTTAAGTCTTTAAAACGTGTGCTGATAAATACAGAAATCATAAAAACCTTTAGTTTCACATCTCAAGACCAACAAAGCAGCAACTTACATTCACCTAAGGATTATTGGATTACACTACAAATGCACAGCTGTAGATTTAAAACATTGCAGGATTCTTACAGCAGCATAAAACTAAAGAAAATCAGCAGAAGCTACAAGGTTGACATAACCTTGTCTTAGAGTGGGGCAAAAAAGTATTTAGTCAGCCACCGATTGTGCAAGTTCTCCCACTTAAAATGATGACAGAGGTCAGTAATTTACATCATAGGTACACTTCAACTGTGAGAGACAGAATGTGAAAAAAAATCCATGAATTCACATGGCAGGATTTTTAAAGAATTTATTTGTAAATCAGGGTGGAAAATAAGTATTTGGTCAATAACAAAAATTCAACTCAATATTTTGTAACATAACCTTTGTTGGCAATAACAGAGGTCAAACGATTACTATAGGTCTTTACCAGGTTTGCACACACAGTAGCTGGTATTTTGGCCCATTCCTCCATGCAGATCTTCTCGAGAGCAGTGATGTTTTGGGGCTGTCGCCGAGCAACACGGATTTTCAACTCCCTCCACAGATTTTCTATAGAGCTCCGGGAGTTGACGTCACTTCTCCCGGCATGCAACAGTTCAAATCGAAACGGCGCCATATTGGCATGCAGAAGCCGGCAGCTGGACTATTTGTTATTGTCAGAAAACTCAAACAGGAAATATGGTAGATTCCTGTTGTGCCCCAGGATGCAGAACAGACGCGGACGACATAAGGAATGAGCCATCTACAGGATTCCCCAAGATCCGGAGCACCGCAAACGTTGGATCATTGTAATAAAACACATTAGTGACCGGGCTAAAATGAAGCTGTGGGATCCCGAGAGTAAAGGTTTTCGCTTATGCAGCGACCGCTTCATATCAGGTACTTAAACCAACGTTTCCTCAACTGTGTACGGTATTTATTTTAAATGCTTTTATTGTGATTCTTAGTGGGCTTCCTAAACTTATTTTGGCGTGGCTTTTTCTGTCTTATTACTCATAGCAGCAAGTAAACATCACGTAAAACGTTGCCTCGTGAGTTCTGCGTGCTGCCGTTTACGTGTTTTATGATGACAGCAATTAACCGGCTAAGCTGTATTTAATTTTTAAGCAATGGTTGATCAATTGTCAGATCACACATAAAAAGCACTTTGGATTGCTATTATCTGTCTCACCGAGACTACTTACCAGGGACGAAATTTTGATTTCAGAAGTGGGGGGGACACAGCTGGCTTGTGCGGATTTGGGGTGGGGGGTGTTATGTAAAGACCCCTTGACACGTCATGTGCCCATCTCAATAATTTTTCCATCCTCTCTCTCTCTCTCTCTCTCTCTCTCTCTCTCTCTCTCTCTCTCTCTCTCTCTCTCTCTCTCTCTCTCTCTCTCTCTCTCTATATATATATATATATATATATATATATATATTTATATATGTCAAAGTTAAAAAATGTACAACTCTATTATTATTTTTATTTATTATCATTATTGAAGTGCAGTTTTGGCTGTTGTCAATGGATAGGCTATTGTATTTATTGTTTTGGGTCTTTTTTTTATTGTTTTTGGTGCAACATTTTCTAACGGAGTGAGATTCCTTTTTTATTCAATTTTTGTTTGTTATTTTTATTCATTTAGAAGTTCTGGTTCTGGACATTTCAATGTTAAATGAAGGTTTATTTGTTGCATTTTAAAGGGTGTACTTGCATTATTATGATATATTAACATTATATTAGTGGTTATTTTGGTCTAGATAATGTTGACAATATCGTTTATCATCAACAATTTGTTGGACAAAATATCGTCCAGCAAAATGTGTTACTTTCCCAGGCCTAGTCAAAAGTATAAAAATTATTTATACATAAACGGTCCTCCTGAGATCTGACCGTTTGTTCATTTGCTGTGTTAGAGGACATGCTGAACTAATGTTTTACACATGATCATCACCCTAACATTTGAGTTTATAAAAACATATTAAATATGTTTTTCCCTTAAAAGTGTTTAAACAGTTGTTGCATTTCAACACACAAAAAATAATTTGAAAAAATAAGATAAATCTAATGAAAAGTGTACATCTTTGACATTAAGCTTAAAAAATCTGTTGACGATGATGATACTGTTAATTTTTCAGAGCTTTTTAATGTGAAAATATACATTGCAATAGATAAGTTTACAATAAAGTTAAATGATAAAAGTTTTGAAGTTACACTTCTACTACTACTACTACTAGTAATAATAATTATGATGATAATAGTAATAAAAAAAATAATTATTATAATAATACGAATAAATTGTGTCTGAGGAGTCAGTTATGTGGAGGAGATGAGTTTGTAAAAGTTAGTTTTGAGTATGTTTGTGAAGGAGGAGGTGAGTCTGAGCTTAATGCAGGGGTGTCACATGTTCCAACTTACGTTTTGACTTAGAAAGAAGTCTCTTATATCCACTTTTCATTTTCTTGACATGCTGCCTCCTGGCTGTGCCTAACTACCAAAGACTCACAAATGAACACTTATTCAAATGTTATGTAATGGAAGCTGAGCTGAGCTCTGATATTACACAGCGTCTAGTTGACGATGTGACTCAGTACCGGTGTTCCCTAGCGGCTCCAAACTAGCAAAACAACGTGAGCACGTTCTGACTGTTTACAAATTGAGTGACAGCAGCAACAGCCAATAATACGTTAGCAAGTATCAGCAGAGCCACTAGATTAGCTTTTGGGCGGGTCTAATAGTAAACCGGTTTCCGTTTCGGTCCTAGTGCTCAACCAAATCCTTTTAATGGAGCGTAACATTGTTTTTGGACGGAAAAAAGTGCAGGGGACCAAAACTGCCTTTTGAAAAAGTGGGGGGGACATGTCCCACCCGTCCCCCCCCAAAATTACGTCCCAGCTACTTACGTGTAATTCTGTTATTTGTCCGTCCATCCATCCATTTTCATCCGCGTATCCGGAGTCGGGTTGCGGGGGCAGTAGCGTGACTTCCCTTTCCCCAGCCGCCGGAGCCAGCTCCTCCGGGTAAATCCCAAGGGGTTCCCCGGTCAGGTCCGGTGTTGTGCCGGTAAGAAGTCCGCTCCGACAGCTTCTGGCGTCGGAGCGGGCAGTAGAGTCCAGAGTCCCAGACCTTCTCCCCAGCTCCTCCGGCCGGGGGAATCCCAAGGGGTTTCCCCAGCCAGGTCCGGTGTTGTGCCGGTAAGAAGTCCGCTACGACAGCTTCTGGCGTTTTTAAAAAGTATCCCAGGGGCACGGTAAGGGTCGGAGATGTTTAGTCTATTTAATTTCTGACTATATAAAACGATTTCTTCTGTTTTAAAGTGTGAAGTAAGCTCAGACGAAGTAAAACCCAAGCGGATCCCGTTCATGTTCATGGTTACATCCGTGTTTGTTTAACTTTTTTGCATGCCAAAATGGCGTCCACTAACTGAGAGTCACGTGGGGTCCGGAGCTCTATTGGGTTGAGGTCTGGAGACTGGCTAGGCCACTCCAGGACTTTCAAATGCTTCTTACAGAGTCACTCCTTTGTTGCACGGGCGGTGTGTTTGGGATCATTGTCGTGTTGGAAGACCCAGCCACGTTTCATCTTCAAAGCTCTCACTGATGGAAGGAGGTTTTGGCTCAGAATCTCATGATACATGGCCCCATTCATTCTGTCCTTAACACGGATCAGTCGTCCTGTCCCCTTAGCAGAAAAACAGCCTCAAAGCATGATGTTCCCACCCCCATGATTCACAGTAGGTATGGTGTTCTTGGGATGCAACTCAGTATTCTTCTTCCTCCAAACACAACGAGTTGAGTTTATACCAAAAAGTTCTACTTTGGTTTCATCTGACCACATGACATTCTCCCAATGCTCTGCTGTATCATCCATGTGCTCTCTGGCAAACTTCAGACGGGCCTGGACATGCACTGGCTTCAGCAGCGGAACACGTCTGGCACTGCAGGATTTGATTCCCTGCCGTTGTAGTGTGTTACTGATGGTGACCTTTGTTACTGTGGTCCCAACTCTCTGCAGGTCATTCACCAGGTCCCCCCGTGTGGTTCTGGTATTCTTGCTCACCGTTCTCATGATTTGGACCCCACGGGATGAGATCTTGCGTGGAGCCCCAGATCGAGGGAGATTATCAGTGGTCTTGTATGTCTTCCATTTTCTGATAATTGCTCCCACAGTTGATTTTTTCACACCAAGCTGCTTGCCTATTGTAGATTCACTCTTCCCAGTCTGATGCAGGTCTACAATTCTTTTCCTGGTGTCCTTCGAAAGCTCTTTGGTCTTGGCCATAGTGGAGTTGGGAGTCTGACTGTTTGAGGCTGTGGACATGTGTCTTTTATACAGATAATGAGTTCAAACAGGTGCCATTAATACAGGTAACAGGGACAGAAAAGCTTCTTAAAGACATTACAGGTCTGTGAGAGCCAGAGATTTTCCTTGTTTGAAGTGACCAAATACTTATTTTCCACCCTGATTTACAAATAAATTCTTTAAAAATCCTGCCATGTGAATTTATGTTTTTTCATTCTGTCTCACAGTTGAAGTGTACCTATGATGTAAATTACTGACCTCTGTCATCATTTTAAGTGGGAGAACTTGCCCAATCGGTGGCTGACTAAATACTTTTTTGCCCCACTGTATATTTAGCTTACACTGTCCACTTCGTCAATTAAAGAATCTTTAATGCTTACCAAGTTGATTTTACAGATTATTCAGATAAGCTTTAACATTTATTTCCAATATCTGCAAATTACAGCATGTAGTCAACTTAAGTTTCCCTACATTAAAATATGGAATCCTGTTCGGTGCACGTTCCTTCAGGGTTCTGTTCATTCTGCTTCTGGATGCAGAGTAAAAGAACAAGATGTGCTTATGTTACAGTAAGATGTTAAAACGTGTCATCTTCCACTTCTCAGTGAGATCTCACTTCACCTCCATCTTTCACCACTAAGCAAACACTACACAGCATAGGCAGCTACATGAATGCAGATACACATTGGCCGTGTGCGTAGCGTGTGCACATAGTATTTACATCTATGAAAGTGAACAGATGATGCAGACTTGTGTTAAAACTCTCCATTATGTTAGATTCTAACAGGAACAAATAACACACAGACTTTTGTTGCTGATTTAAAGAGACTGTAACACTTTTAAAGTTTTGTGGTGCTGAAGCAAACAAGCCAGAGCAGAGAAAATTGTGTTCAATCACAAAAAAGCCACCCTTTGAACTACACATTTTATCAGATCCTTCACTTTTCCCCCTCTGGCCCCTCTTTCAGTGGCTCTCTGTCGAGAGTCTCCTCAGCCTCCTTCTGTGCACCGATGACTGGTAACCATGACGATGGCAGCTCAGGTCCAGTTCTCTTGACCTGGTTGAGGTGGCTGAGAGCGGCGTAGAGGCCGGTGTTGGTGCTGCTGCGGGCTCCAGCCTCCCCCTGCGCCTCCTCTTCCTCCTGCTGATCTGTGTAATACATCTCCGGAGCTGCAGGGGTGCAGTGCTTCTGCTGTTGGAGGACAAAGAAACAGCTATGGTGGTTCCAGTCATTCTTATTGAGATATAAAATTAAGCCTCTTCCTGATGGCATCATAATCTCATTAGAAATATTTTACGAGTTCTCATTGAGATGTCAAGATGACCACGAGGATGGGCTAAAGCCAAGTTCACCCAAAGCAATTTCAACACCAAAACCTCTTTTTACTCCTTGGTTTAAGAAACGTTCGAAAACATTTTAAGTCTAAATTTAAATAGATGGACCCAAAAAGGCTCAACCCTGAAACGTCAGTGTGGCATCAGACTCGTTTGCTCTGGTTTAAATGTGTTACAGGGAACTAGGCAGTTTTGGTGTGCTTTTAGCACCCCCTAGTGTCAGTTAGTAGAACTAAAAGCAAAACCTCTCCTTGCTTTGATTTTTGTCTTTTTAATAACTTAGAGCCTTTTGTGTGTGTACTGGAGTGATTTATCACTAAATGAAACAAATAAACTTTTCATGATCAGAGTGCAGCGCCAGATATGTCAGCTCATTTATTTTTCAAGTCCCAACAGATTCCAGCAACTGAAGCTTTAACTGAAATATTCTGATAACAGGAGGCGATGGGGGCTAGGTGGCCTTTCATTAACCCTGTAAAGAGTAACTTCACCAAATACGGGCTCAAGAAAATAATTAAATATGAAAAAGTTGCTAAATATCCTTTAACTTTTAAATATTCTCAGAAGCACAATACAAGTTTTGTCCCAAATGAAGCAGAAGTAAAAAAAATGCTAGGCCAACCTGCTAAAACATTTAAAGTGTTGCCAGAAGGTCTGCTCTTCTCCCCCTCTTTTCCCCCTCCATCACACTTTAGTCACGCCGAGTCCTAATTAAAGACCCTCTGATTCACAATGGGCATCCCAGTTTCTGGCTGACCAGAAATAATCCATCACCCTCTCTTGCTCCTCCATCACCCCATCTCTTTAACCAACCTGGGTTACAGAGCTGTCCCTAAAGCGAGCGCTGAGGGGGTGTGACGAGAACAGAGGCAGAGGTTTTTTGAGTAGGTGTAATACAGACTAATACTTAACCTCACGAGTGAGAGGTACCAACCTTAAGGACAAAGCCTTCTGGGCAGGTTAGCTGGTCATACCACATGGCTTTGTACATGAGCAGGAGCAGCAGGCTGGTCAGGAAGGCCAACGTGATGAGGATCAAACCTATGATCTGAAAAGAAATCCTTAAGGTAAAGGCTGAATATGGAAACCATAATCCATGGGAAAACAAAGTTCCAGTTTAAAGCTGCCCTCTTTCAGGTACAATTTTTCAGAAAAACATATGTGATTGTCTTATGTACTGTGATACAATGTAGGAAATAAGTTTTTTGCTAAGCCCGCCCCCTCCCGTAGAGCTCAACAGAATACGAACTGAACGCCGGTCAGCACTAACCGATATCAATAGAGAACCGCTTACGTACGAACGTCAAACACAGTGCGTGCTCAAGGGTTAGAGGATGCGACTCGGTTGATGCAGAGTTGCGAGCTTGCTCATCGACAAGTCTTTAAATATAAATATGGAAACACAACATGAGCATAATTGTGAGACAATATGTTTTAGCTCTGTTGGCTAGAGGAGTGCGTTCATAAACGAGGCGTTGCTTTCGGCTGTAAATACGGGAATCAAAGTAGGTCATGAGGTGATACGCTTGTCAACCACTAGATGGTGCCGTCAGAAGAAAAACTACAAAACAGCAACTTTAACTTCATGGTTTGATGGTTTCATTCATTTAGTTTTAGAGCATATTGCCCTCCATATGACGTACCTTTGCTTTATCTGAAACATCACTGTAGAAATTAATATTCAGCTTCCTGATGTTGGGAACAAATCGCCTGTTCTTCTGCTGCAGCTGATACTCCGTCTTGGTCTTCACCACGACCTACAGCAGAAACATGATCGTCCATCAGCTCAGGCATCTGAAAGCTGCAGCTGTGGGGCTGCATGCAGTTTAGTAAGGAGGAAATTAAATAGTTATTTTATAATAAGTGGCTTTAGCCATTTCCCTTTATTCCGCTTTTATGCAAACGTGTGATTTAATTCGACAAAATGATGATGAAGTATAAAGCAATTCACCCCTTTCACCCATTTAGAGGAAATAAAGTTACATTTTGCACACAAATGAGATTAAACCGAAAAGGACAAAAAGATACATAATTTTAGTGAATCATTAAATAGCCAAATATTCTGAAATTAGGATTCATCCACATAAATTAAAGGAGGTAGCTGTCAAACACAGGCTTCTCTCACTTTTCAATGTAATCAAATTTATAATTTGAGTTATTTTTTTATCTCAAGCTTCAAGAATGTTTTGCCATCCATTAGCAGAACCAAGGGCAGAAATGGCTCTTATGATTGTAAAGGTTGCAGAACACAGCTTGATGCTCTTCGTGATTAATCAAGTATGCATTTAAAGACCTGCAAAAGTTTTAGCGTTCGGTTTCTATTCCTTAAGAGGATGCTTGGGGACTGACATTTAGTTTAACACCAGTTTTCCCTTCTGTGGAACAGCTTGTTTGGCTCCAGTCATCCAACCTAATGTATATAAATATATTCCCTCCAGTCTTTTTCATTATGCATTCACAGGAGCCTTTGTATAAACCGATGCCAAGGATTCAACCTGAGCTGGTGGTTGCAGAAAGGTAACTACAGCAGGCTCAGCAAAGGGACTTATGAGGGGAAGGAAAGTGTGCTCACAAGAATTTTAATAGCTTTTGTCTAATACTTTCTGTGATCCTTAACAATGTTTTTTTTTCCACTTTTGCAAACCTGAAAGAATATTAAAGCAAAAGAAACCTACAGAAAAAGACACTGTAGCCATAGGACATGTTTACCTCGTCTGCGAACGGCTGCTGGAGCTGGCTGACCTCCAGGGGTGTGATGAGGGGGATGTTATCAAAGCCATCTGCAGATGGCTGCTTCTCCAGCTTATCGGACAGATTACTACCCAGCTTCACCATAGCTGCTCAGCTGCCTGAACAATCTCCCAAACAGATCTCAGAATCGAGGACAAGGAGCCCAGGTCAGACAGACTCAGTTTTCAACCAAGTGTGATTGTGCTGCCCGACGATCCTGCCAGAAATTACACAAAACAGCAGAATGAGAATAAAACCGTCCCAATCTGCAAAACATCTCCTAATTTTAACGAGTTTTAATAAACTCAGAAATTAATCAGTGGCGGCACATTTACAGCTGAAACCCCATCCAAGATGGCCACCACAGCCAATTGCAAACTCAAAAATGACAAAAAGGCAGTTAATTTGACAGGTGTTGGGCTAAAATCTGGTGCTGTAATGTCACCCAAAACACACGAGTACCCCAGGGGCGATGCTAGCATCAGAGGTTTAGGGGTGCTGAGCACCCAGAAAGATGCCTCAAAAACCGGAGATATTGTTCTAGTTTTTGCCAGCAGAGGGCGCAAGTGCCCCATTCTTTCAAGTGTTGGGAAGAAAAAATTAGAGCAATTGTTTCTTCCAAGTCTTAAAAGTATAGGGAGCCTAAGTCTCCTCCCTTTCCAATCGGCTCAAGGGTCCCCGGAACAAAAAAAGAAAAAAAAAATGAATGCAAGTCAAGGGGGCTAAAAACACTATTTTCTAATCTGCTTTGCCTCAGGCCCTGGATCGCACACCTGTTGTACTGCAATTTAAATGAAAAGTAATGATTGGGGTTTCGACCACACCAGTCACATACTTTAAGATTTATCAGCTTGTAAATGTTTGTAATTAGCATTACTGCACACCAGAAATCGCCATATCGCATACGTGACATAATCTCCTCTCCCCTGAAGTAGCTGCTACTTACACATGGTCAGATTTATGGTGGTTCTTTCCTCCTATGGGAAGTTTTCTGAATTTACAGCTCTTAATCCTCAGTTTTCTCCGTGTCTGGTTCGATGAGGTCACTTTTGTGAAGCGCATTTGTAGTCCTGGACTTATTTTCACACAAAACCTAAAAAAGTGTTTCCCCCCGTTCGAAAATAAGTGCATTCTTGGTATCAAATGTGTCTAAAATTCACAGACATATGTGAAATCCATGGCTCAAAACAAACGGAATTAGAAAATAGAGGTTTTTTTTTAGCCCCATTGACTTGCATTCATTTTTTGTTCTTCCGGAGACCCATGGTGCGGAAATAGATGGGCGTGACTTAGGTTCCCTATTTTTAGGTGGGAAGGCCAAAGTGTCTTCACTTAAAAAAAATTCCCAAAGTTCGAGTAGTTGTCACACACACTGATGTGTGCGAAATCTGTTCTCCGCATTTGACCCATCCTCTGGGGGAGCGGTGAGCTGCAGACGCAGTTTTGCTCAGGAACCATTTGGGGGTTCAACCCCCAATCCAACCCCTTAATGTGGAGTGTTGAGCAGGGAGGCATTGGGCCCCGTTTTTTCCAAGGTCTTTGGTATGACCTGGCCAGGAATCTAACCCTCATCTCCCAGTCTCAGGGCGGCCACTCTACCACTAGTGGTAGACAAATTTATTTTATTATCAGTGTTAAACAAGAGTTAATCAACAAGCTATAGCAGGACCTATTAGCAGCAAGCTAAACAGAAATGTACCTTTCTTTTAAGCTAAAATAAGAATGATGCTGAATATTCTCTCCTAAATGGTAAAAATGACCAAAAGTGTAGTATGTGCTTTCTGACACCAGAGTATTTTATTTAAAGGAAAATAGATCCTTGAATTTATATCAACAGCTAACTAATTTCTAGAGTAGATTCCTTACATAGAAAATGCCATGAATTCTTGTTCTGCATTTTATGGTTGTGTTGCACACACATCATGTGAAGTGGATGACTTTCAGCTACTTACAAATCAAAATTTTGTTCATTATTTGTATAACTGCACAAGATTTAATCATTGCCAACATCAACATTGAGGGTTTTTGAAAATTAAATAAAAGTAAGGCAAGCTCACAGTAGAACAAAAATGAACTTACAGGAATCCAAAAGCAGAAGCAGAGAGAACAGGAGGGGTGTGAAACTAGAGCAGTGAAACCAAACACTTTAAAAAAGGTGGGAAGCTGATTGCTGAATGAGAACAGGTGAGTGTTTAAAGTGACAGAGGCAGGTGTGAGGAATCAGCTGATCCTCAAGGAGGAGCAGATGGCACAGATACAAAAAAACTACTCAAAATACCAAACAGAACGCACAAAAACTCTAAAACACGACATATTTAGTGTTTTCCGCATGGCTGCTGCGGCCATCTTGAATCCAATTGACTCCCAAACGCCCACTGATTACAATCTAAAGGTGTTTAACACAATATATTGCTTATAAACACAGTGCTTATGAGGATTCTGCAGCTTTGAGACATTTCTAGATTCCACAGCCTTTTAGAGCGTAAACATGTTTCATAACTGAGTGTGATTCATATCTCAGCCCCATCTCTTCCTCTGATTTCCGTCAAGCTGCAGCATCTTAAATCGGATGTATTGAAAGCATCTCTGCTCTGATGGTGATTCAAGTTTTCATCCTTCAGCAAATGATCATCTGGTAGTGGTGAGAAGAGGTGAGGAGCCACTTATCTCGCAGGCAACACCTCCCCCTCTCTCAGCTAGGGACCCCACTTTGGCCCACTGATGCCAGTGACTCACAGTAGATGAACCAGCAGGCAAAGAGCCGTGGAGAAGTCCCTGAAGCACAGGAAATGTGTTTGTGATGATACAGGATTATTTACCAAAGCCCTTAAACTCGTGAAGTGTGAATAAATGATGTGTTAAAGTGGAGTATTTTTTAAACCATTCTGAAATCTGGTTTTCATAAATGATTATGAGTTTTAGTAGTCACGGGGGTGGGTGGTTGTCGTGGTCATGTACTGACCATTTTTCCTCCCCATGCTGTGGGTATGATGATGATGATGATGAATCATCCTGAATCTATGATAAACTAATGAGCTGCTGTCAGAACGCTCTGTGTTCCCACACTCTGCAGGAAACAAGTCCAGCCAGCTGCACATGACAGCTTTAGTCACCCGCTGAAATCTCCTTCACTTTACAGTTCCGTTAAGTGGATGTGTCACACAGGAAGGTGTGAGGTGGATGCTCAGCCATGAATAGGCGAGAACAGAGTGTTTGCCACCTTCTGTCAAGTTCTTCAAGGTTCACTGCTCATGCATATCACAACTTGCTGCATTGATGACTGCTGCAACAAGACTTGGAGCAGCAGTCAGAGCACAGATGGAGGAAAAGGCTCGTTTTGTGTCTATTTTCTTCCAGTTTGGGATGCTACATCATGCTGTTTGATAAATTAAATGGATTTTTCAATGTTTCGGACACATTTTGCTGCCTCTCACATAAGGTAGAGCATTATGGATCTGTCTATTTTCTGATACACATACATCAGGCAACCTGCAGCAAACCCTCAAATTATACCAAATAAATCATCCGATTCTGCAGCGACATTCCTTCAGCCTCCCTCGTGCCCTGTTACTAAACCCAAGCCGCACTGCCGCATGAAGACTGACACAAACTTACTGTGGATTTGCGGGATCTCCGGTCGCCTGCAGACGGGATCGGACCTCACGGTTGCGGACCGCGGACTGAGTGGACGCCGGTTGCCGTGGTGACGTGTGATCCAGAACGGGACTGCGCACGGGATGGAGCGTCTCCGCGTGCTCCGGTGCGTCTCTGCGCGGTCAGCAGATGCTCATCAGGAAATTACGCGCGCGCGCGTGTGTCTATGTGTGTGTGGGGAAATGAAAGATCACACTGGTTTGTCAACACACAGCCTGTGTGTGGAAACAAGCAAGTGATGCTTTAATGCAGGAAGGTGTTCCACTCTTTTATTATTTTTACCTAAATTAACAAAAATGATCTGATCTAAACGTGTCTCAGAGAGCACTTGTTAAATCATTTTTACATTCAATAATTATTTTAATGGCATTTTTACCTGTTTGCCTTTCTACTTTGGTACAAACTTTCTTTTATGGTGCAACAAAAACAAAATTTTCACGAGGACACAAAGTCATTTTAATGTTCTTATTTATCTGAAATAAAACAATTCCCTATTTTAAAATTAGCACATAAATATTGCAAAATAACAAAGTTGTGATAAAATAAACTTTTATATTATGAATCCAAATGTTTTGTAATCTATTATGTGTTAAAAATACTGCACCGATAATACGAGATTGACTGTACATACATATATATATATATATATATATATATATATATATATATATATATATATATATATATATATATATATACATATATATATATATATATATATATATATATATATATATATATATATATATATATATATATATATATATATAATACTAAGTAATAAAAACTAAGTAATAAATTGTTCACTGTAAACACTAATTTGTTGACTCAATCAACTTTTTGACTCATTTAAGTCAAAATTACAGCGTAAAGACAGCTTGAACTCGTCATTCCATAAATACATCCAACCTCCATGTAACTCAAGCCTTTATTCAACTAATTTAAATATTAAAAATGTATGAAAGTTGCCTTGAATAACGAGCTAGCTCAAAGCACCACTGTGCTACATGAACTGGCTTCCTTATTCCTTTGTCCTGTTTTTGATCTTTCATAAAATAAAACAAAATTTTGAGGAGGAGTATTACGAGAAATCTTCCTGATAAAATAAAACGTTATTCTGACCCAACAAGTCCTCAAGCAAACTTAAGTGTTTGTTAAATGTGCCAAACTGCTTCTTTGAGCTGTGATATTACTCTTGCACTGATTTCTCTCAGCTCAAAATAATGTGAAAGAAATCCTTAATTTCATGTTTAGAGAGAAATAACAGAGGTGTGTGAGTCAGGGTTATCTGCAGATTTGATTGACTTTTTCATTAAAAAAAGGACTCATGCTCTTATTTTTTCCTTTGGCCATGCTTCACTGTAAGAATTCATCACATCTTTTGGGGATCAGTCATCCAAAAATCAATGCCCAACCTCCTGCCAGCCCATCAGTTGAGCCTACATTTATTATTTTGACCTTTCCTTTGAGAGGAAGAGAAGGGGGATGACATCAAAGGGAATTCTTGACTCGATCTTCTGTTAAAAGACGGAGGTGTCACACTCTCAGTGTGAGCAGCAGACTGTTGGCCAGTGAAGAAGCAAGATGGAGACTGAGTCAACGTATTTAGAGCTAGAATCAACAAGTCGGAGGTAAAATGGCTCAAATCGGGCGTTGTTTCTAAGTTTATGAGATCTCATGAGAGGCCTGCAGGCCTACAGATTTGTGCATTTATGTTTCCATTTGAAGAAGTAAAACATAAGTTTTCACTGCAAAATATGTAAACAAATAATCTTCTTGTGGGTCTAACATAAAAAGACAAACTACTCGTCTTTAGCCTTAAATTGCTGATGGAATGCATAAAAACTGATTTTATATGGAGTGATTACATTCTTTTGCTGAGACGTTGAGCTGATTCGCTGAAAAAAAATTGTTTATTAAAAAAATAAAGAAAAACTGCTCATTATTTCCTAGGAACTACTCAGGAAAAGCTAGAGACTAAATAATGAAAATGAGAAGACTTTTTTCAATCTGAAACAAAGTAGTAGAATCTGACACCTTTTGATCTTATAAAAACAGAAACTGCAGAATTTGTGTAGCTTTGGTATAATAATCAAGTACAAGTCAGATTGTTTTATCTTTAAAGTTGCAAGGCTTCCTCTTTTCTGTTGGAGGTTCAATCTAAACTAATAGATTTGTATAAGATTTAGTAATGTTTAATAATTTATTAGGAAGTCAAGTGTACAATCATACTAACATTATAAAAATCTCCAAAGCACAATATTAGAATGATATTTTTTTGTTAAATTAGTTTTTTCTTTTAGATTTGCAAATAATGTGTAAGTCAATGACAAAATACATATTTATCAATGATTTTTCCCAGAAATTTTGATGTAAGCACAAAGCAAAACGAACGTTAACAAATGGAATAAAATGTGTAAAAAAATGATAGTAGAGTTAAATTTCAAGTTCGGTGTTCTGGCAAAATTCTGATGACAAAAACAAAAAGAAAATCGTTCAAAAAATCCAGAACTGTGTGAAATGTTACAAACAGCGCCCTCTGGTGTCCGCACAGCCACATAAATGTTTAAAACCGAAAACTATTCTGATTTTCATGCAGGTATAAGCTGTTTTTAACAATCAAACAACTGTCATTTTTTACTATTTCAGATATATAATGACAATTATTAAATATAATTATAAAAACAAATAAAAAAAACACACATGCAGTTGCATCCCAAGTATTTTATTATGATACATTTCCATAATTTTTACTCTTTAGGCAAGTAAAACAGATTTATTTTGTAGATTAATTACTCTGAACTATTGTCAGATTAAATCCATTCAGGAATTGGGGGAGCTTTGCCAGTAGTGGACCGAGGATGAAGCATAACGAGCTACAAACAGATGAATCCAGTCGATCTGCTCCTGAACCAGAGAAGTCAGAGGCATTTACTGTAGAGAAGAAGGACCTGAATTGTTGCTCAGTGGGCCAAAGTCCTCTTTTCAGGAGAAAGTAAAGTCTGCAGCTCATTTGTAAATGAGCATCACAGAGTCTGGAGGAAGAGGCACAGACGATGGTGAAGTTTCCAGTAAGTGATGGTTTGGGCCTCTGTGTCCTCTACTGGTCCAAGGTGTTTTTCACCGTCAGCATAGACATCAGACCATTTAAATTGCATGACAGTAATGGAACTAAGAGACAAAATATCTACAGCAAAAGACAATAAAAACTACTTCATCAGTATTTTTGTTGACTTGAAGAAAGCATTGATGTTACTGATCACTTGAGGTTACTTCAGAAACTGCATCAGTATGGAATAAGAGGTGTAGCACATCAATGGGTTAAAAGTTATTTAGAGAATAAAAATAAAAATGTGTCCACCTAAACAACACTAAATTAGAACTGCAGGAGATTAATTATGGAGTGCCACAAGGGTCGGTCCTTGCACTTAAACTGTTCATATATTTATTAATGATCTTGTAAATGTATCTAAGCTACTTGGTACTGTTTTATATGCTGATGACACAACATTGTTCTATTCAGGGTCAGATATTAATGAAGTAACTAGAGTGATAAATAATGAACTGATAAAAGTTATCAACTGGTTTGCTATAAACAGACTTTCACTGTCATGGTCTGAGGTGACCTCATCCTCTAATCAGCTTCAGCATTCATTCCAGGTGAGCGGTGTCTGAATGGAACCGGCTGCAGCAGATCCATCATCAGCCACTGCTGGCTTAAAAGGAGGAGGAAGACCACTGCTCAACGCCAGTTGATTACTCCACACGGGTATATCCAGTTGGGTACTTACCTGCCACGCAGTCTCTAGGAAACTCTAGTCTAGTTATATCTTTTGATTACTCTACCTGACGTTTGCTCCTTGTTTTTCTCAGATCCTGCTCAACTTCACACATTCAGCCATACTCCTGGACCTCACTTCAGCCTGCATCTTCCTTCCCTCAGTCATTTCACCACCGCTCATCCACCCCTTTCTGGAACCATTCTCGACCCCACTGGACACTTGGATCCTGCCACCTCAGACCTAACAGACCTCCCCACATACCATCTCCCCAGCAGCACAGTAAGATCTCCACTCCTCCTCCACCTTCAAACCACCAAAACCTTCTACTAATCCAGACTCTACATGCAGGTTCATTTCTGCCCCTCTCCCCTGCATCTCCCAGTTTGGGAGTTGTGCACCGTTTAATAAAACCTTTTTTTTTAATCTTACATTTGTCTCGTGTTGATTCTGCATGTCTTGGGTCAAGCACCTAAACCCCAACATGTCATTCACTGAATCTTAAAACAAATATATTGTTTAATGAAAGAGAAAACAAGGATGTAACATTAAAATAGATGGAATGGACATTGAAAGGGTGAAAGAAACCAAATGTTTAGGAGTCATGTTTGATGAAGCACTCACCTGGAAGTCACACATAGGTTATATCAGAAGTAAAATTGCCAAAGCCATCACAGTACTACTGCATAGTTCTGGATTGCTGATATTGAAAAACTCACTGATCGCCCCATTCTTAACTTACTGTGTAGAAATATGGGGATCTGCATGTAAAACTCATACACAACCACTGTTCTACAGAAAAGAGCATTGAGAATCATTAATTGTTTTAGAGATCCATCCAATCTGATATTCATCAAATATAAATTACTGAAGATTCATGATCTAGTTAATATGAAATTACAATGTATAAAGCTAATACAAATACACTACCCACCAACATTCAGAAAATATTTTAAGAAAAGAGTCAGTAATTATTTCTTTAACCCTTAAATTTCCAGGTTTAATTAACACAAGGGCAGGACGCCAGAATGCTTAGGGGTTAAAAGGAACTGAAGTATTTAGAAAAACCTAGATTTAGAACCAGAATGAAGGAGATGACTATTTCTGTAAATGGTGTGAGAATATGGAACAACCTTAGCAAAGATATAAAAGAATCAAAGTCACTAAATGTATTTTAAAAATGTATAAAATCTAGTGTATTACAGAATTACAAAATCTAAATTCAGATAGTGTCTGATTAGGTCTGTAAATTAAAAGAATATACACTGTAAACCCCGATTAGTTCAGTCTACTTAAAAAAAAACCAAGGTAACCCGTTGCCTTAAAATTTTAAGTAATGAATAATTAGTTGAATTGATGCAACTGAGTATGTTCAATGTACTTAAGGCCTTAATGGGATGAAATTAAA